GCTCTAATGTCAACTCTAAGTTGATAAACTTTTTTAAACTGAAGAGAACATTTAATGTTGCATTGCTCCATAAAATAAGGTCACTGGATATCTCTGTAAGAGGCAGAGTAACTGAACGGGAAAAGGCTGGGTCCATCAAGCCTATTCATTTAAAGTAGAACTGTGTAAAAATAATTTGTTTTTTGGTTAATTGGTAATTCTGAAAATTAAAAAAAAATCATGTTGGGTCGAATGAAACATTTTGTTTCACTTCAGACCAAATTTTTCCTTTGATATTGAGCTTTATTTTCTTTTAATTTTTAAAATAGAATTAAAGGTAATTTTAGAAAAGTCCTCTTGAGTCAAAGTCTAAATGTTTCTTTTTGAAAATATTGAAACAAAATGTTTTATACCTTTTCAGTTTTTTAGGGTTCTTTGTTTTGTTTTTTTTGGACTGAAACAATTCACTAAAATCGATACAAATTGCATGAAAAGTTTTGGTCAACCCAAATCTGCATCTTTCTTCAAAAAATTATTTTTTCCAGTCAAAAATTTTTGACCAGCTCTACTTCTCATAATTTCCCCTTCCTTGTTGCAGTAGGGCAATGACAAATAGGTTCCTCCATCTGAAGACCTGGCTGATGTTTTCAATTTGCTTCCGTGTCCTCTCAACATCTTGTTCTGTTTTTTTTCCTTGGGGGTATTTGAATTGTTGCTATTTCTGGATGGGTCTCATTTAACAATCTGCCTCGTAAACAGAGCTGGGAAGTCGCATCATCTTGCTCTACTGGTCTTTGATTATTACAGGTAGGGCAGGGATTTTGAAGGTGATTTAGTAATAGTTATAGATCTGTATAGCCTGATGCAGTGGTTCCTATGGTCGCAGTTTTGCTATCATGTCGGATTGAGTTCCTCTAGAGTATCTTTAGCTAGAAACTGCAACTTTGGCCTGATCTACACTTACAAGTTAGGTCAACTTAGTTATGTCGCTCAGGGCTGTGAAAAATCCCTGGTATAAATGCAGATGTAGCTACTGTCGCTCAGGGAGTTGGTGATCCTACAGCAATGGAAGAACCCTTCCTTTTGCTGTAAGCTCCATCTGTGCAACAAAGTGGATTATGCCACATAGCTATGGTACTATAGTCCCTGTGGACATTGCTTTAGATACATATGTTTGTGGTCCCAACTGAATCTTTCTCATTTCCCATTCTATTTGGCAGCTTTCAGACAAAGATCTCAAAATGCTTCTCACACAGTAAATCTTCCCTGAGCGCATGAGTGGTGCGGGTTTTCCCATGTACAGATGGAGTGCCTGATATCAGATGGTTAAAGGATTTCTATTCCATATAGGTTGTTTATACTGCTGTCATCACCCGAGTGTCTGAGCTACTTCCAGTTGCACATTAAGTGACGTAACTAACTTCTGTTGTGCGTGGTTTGCTCTGTTCTGATGAAGGTTAAGCAGAGGCAAAGTCAGACGTGAAACTCTAAAGTCCTGGTTCCCATTTCTCTGTTCTAACCACTAGCCCATGCTCCCTGCCTCCTGCACACTAGGCAAGTGACACAAACGCGCATGTGAGCCATGTGATCAGCGCAAGCACTTGGATACCACAGTGACCAAACCCTTCTTCCCACCCCACTCCAGAAATAGGGTCTCTGTTTTTAGACTGACTCGCCGACCAGCTGTGATATAAATCAGTATCACCCTAACCTTTAGAAACTTCCCTGTGTATTACATCTGATTAATTAAAACCCACCCCCTAGTAATACTTGGCACTTGCCTGCCGCTTCTCCCCCAGGAGCTCAAAGCCCATCACAAAGAGCTGGTTGAGGCCGCCCAGTTTTTTATAAAGTTGGTGGTGCATGTGGAGCCTGTAGTAGAGTTGACTGGTTCCTAGCAAGGGTTGTGCAATCACATCAGATAAGTACATCATAAAAAGGGATGGAGGAGAAACCTGCCATGAACATGCATGGAAAGAAAACTGGCCCTAAGTAGCTTGTGGCGTGTAGGCCCTTCCGGCAGTGTTTGGAGACCTCTTCCTTTCTTTTGTATTAGTAAATAAGTAAGGATAAGATTCGGTCATGGAATCATGGGTCCCGTGGCTTTCAGAGACCGCCATGACATTTTCCGCTTCAGCCCTGGGGCGGCGGGGCTGGAGCTGTCAGCCGGCAAGGGCCCTGCAGCCTGAGGTGCCAGAGCCGTCAGCTGCCTCGGGTGGCAGGTGCTGGACCCCCCTCCTCCACCCTCTTGCACTGGGGCTTGGGCTCTCATCTCTCCCCCCGCCCCCTATTCTTTTTAGTAAGTCACAGGCGGGTCACGGGCTTCTGTGAAGTTTTGTTTATTGATCGCGACCCGTCCGTGACTTTTACTAAAAATAACCGTGTCAAAATCCGAACCTTATAGATAAGGTATCACTCCCTCACCTAAAATGGTGACCTGAGTTTTGCCTTCATAGCTTCTGATTAGATCCAAGGCTCTCCTATCAGGATCATAGAAATAGCGACTCTCTTTTTAAGAGCATGTGAGGCTGCCCAAATGACAGGAAATTGCTGATTAGATTTGCCAATTTACTGGGCAGGGGAGGTTGGTCTGTCTGATATCCTTGCAACCCCCGGGGGCAACATTGCGTTCATGGTTACCTTAACTGGGCCTGACACCAGGATATGTACATATGATCTAACCAGATCCCTTATGAAATTCCAAACACCTTATGTACAGCTGAAGTTATGGGAAGTCACTGGTCCTTCTCTGTATCCAATATCACTCTCCGACACTAGCAACCTTCTTCCCACTTTCCTTTGGCCGTTGCTTCAACAGACTTTGTATGCGGATCATTACAGACCTCCTGTCAATTTCCTGATCCCGCCTGTTATGCAAGAAACGTCATACCTCAAAACACCAAGCTCCAGACAATCCATTTATACAGCCTTCAGCCTCAGTACAGGGGGCATTCTCTTATCCACTCTTTGTAACTTGCTATAGTAGTAAGCAAGGGATGGAAGTCCTTGGGATTCACATAAGTTCCTCTAAATTATTTTTCCTTTTTAATAATTTAAAAGCAAAAAACCTATTACAGGAATTGTCTCCTGCCCTTGGGACGCATTGTATGTTTCCTGAAGAAAGTTACTATTAGACAGTCAGAAATGTGGAAAGAGATTTTAGAATAGACTGTTTCAGTTTTACATGACTATTTTTAAGGGCTTGTATCCTATGTTTGGTGTCCTTTGGGATGGAACTGTCTTTGGCGATGGTAGGACTCATTTAAATGTCACTTGTGCTTGCATGACAGAGCAAAGCAAACGCTGCCACCTGTGGGCTTTAGAAACCAGCCTGTGACTAAAATCTCAAAGGGGTTTAAATGTGGGCACTGTGTCCTCTCTCTTGACCCCGTTTGCCTTTCTGCTACCCTATCTCTTGCTCCTCCCTTCACCTCCAAGCTCCTTGAGCCTATTCCCACTCCCTCGACTTCCTCTTCTCAAATGCCATCCTGGATCTGCTGCCCTCTGGTTCCATCCTCTTCATTTCCCCTCTTCTGAAGGTCACCAATTACCATCTACGACCTTGCCTGAAGTAATATTTGAAAGATGTGATGGTAGCTGTGACACTTTCCAGTGAGGGTTGTCCGAGACACACTGTGTCACAGTAGCGTGTGTTAGTAAACGTTTGCTACATCATAGCTTAAATCCTAGTCTCAACAAGGCCTTGAAACCTCTTCTCTGTTCACAGAGTAGCTGGTTACTTCCAAATCTACCTCTCCTGCCACCTTACATCTTGTCTTGGGTGTTCTGACGCCAACTTAAATACCACGTGGTAGAAACTGAATGACATCTTTCTGCTATGCCCAACAACGTCCAGGCTGTTGCTAAATCCAGATGACTCTTCATTTACGGTCTCTTTCACTTCAGTCTTTTCCGTTCCATCCTGCCTGCTTAAATCCCTTATCTGAGCTTTGATTATTTCCTGCTTTGACTACTGCAACTACCTCTTTTCTTGTCTCTGTCTGTCTGCTTAAAATGCTACTACAAAAAATGTGGTTCTCCCACAGCTTTGACCATGTCGTGCCCTTTCTCAAATATTGCTTCTGGTCCTTTCCACTTCACCCCACACACATTCTTGCTCCCACCTTTCCCTTCACTCCATGCGAACCTCCTCCCTAACAGATGCATCTGATCCTGCCCTCCACTCTCATCTTCCTGATTTTTTCCTTTGTGTCTCTTGTGCCTGCAGTGATCTTCCACGTCTTGTGTCCTAGTTAACCGCCCTCTCTTCATTCATACCGCTCCTTTTAAAACTCACTTCTTCCATGAAGCCTTCACTGATGATAGATCAGGGACAGGAATCTGACTGTCCGTGTATAACAATTCACGCACAACATGTGGTTTCCACATGTACCTGCAAATGGCCATTTCTTTGCTCCTGTCTTTCCCCCAGGCTTTTTCAGGGACTGTGTGAGGGTTGATGAGTTAATGTTTGTAAAGTTCTCTGAGAATGTACAACATTATATAAGTACTACATATTTATTCCTTTATTCAGTGGTTTACTGCTAGTCATGTCAGACAAGGGTACTTCATGAAACCTTTGTGTTCGGCCATAATGATTCTGACCTGATGCCTAGACTCTAAACAGAAAACTCAGTTTAAAAATAACCTCTACGTAGTTTAGTGGCGGCCGTTTGTATCTTTGGTCAAACATCTCGAAGTGTGTGTGTGGGAGGGTGGGGCTGTCACAGTACCAAGGGTAATTGGATACTGGAGGACTTCTCCCTCCACAAAGATTATCCTCTCAGAGTGCCTCAGTGTTTGGAAGCAAGGTTTTTTTTATACCTCTTGTTTTAAATTTCCAGTTCCTTCTGTGCCTCCCAGTGCAACCATCAAAGGGCAACTTCCATTGGGTAAGATAATTTCTGTCCCATTCTCAGTGAGTGGAGTGATCTGAGTGTGGCAGGAGAGATGGTCAACCCCATTTTATTACACTGCATCAGTTTAGTAATGTTTGTCCTGTGATTTGTCTCCCTTAACAGTAGCGATTAATGGAAGGACACGGGGTGACCAAAACGGAACACATGGATACCATTGAGGCCCATGCCGTGGCCCAGCAGGTGCAGCAGGTCCATGTGGCCACCTACACAGAACACAGCATGTTGAGTGCAGACGAAGATTCACCGTCTTCGCCTGAGGATACCTCCTATGACGACTCTGATATTCTCAACTCGACTGCTGCTGATGAGGTCACTGCCCACCTGGCTGCTGCAGGTAAGGGTTTCAGTGTCCTATCTTCTGCAGAAGTTGGTTGCAAATAGCACTTGAGTGCAGCCGTTTAATGTGACTGACTTCTCTCTTCACCAAACCAGGCTGGGTGGTTATTGCGTCACGTTTAATCACAGGGCCCTGCAATGCCAACAGAATGAGTGTTGCTGTATTGAGTAACGCCATGTTGATATCCACAGTGTGGTGGAGTTGGGGAAAATATATTTATCGTTAAAGTGCAAGTGCCAGCAGTATCTGATTGCTGCAGAGAAAGGTAAAGGAGAGGCAGAAAATTTCAAAGGGCAGCCAGCTTCCATCACCACATAAAACAGTGTGGCATAAACAATGCTAACCACAATAACCCACTAAATCTCCCACACTCCAGAGTAGGATGTCAACTGACGCATCTTTAGCCTCGTCACTAATGGGCTTGGGCATATTTTACGTAGGAAAAAATTCCAAAGCCACAGGCCCTTTCCAGTGAAGCCCCTACCTCCTGTCCTTGAAATCATGGATTGGTCCTATCCCTATTGGCCTCAACCATAGCCGCAGATAACCAATCGCAAACTGGCCTAACATCATTTCTATGCCAAAGTAAAACTTTGGCGTACAATTGCTGAACAAAAGGCAACCTGTGAAGCTGTGGATGTTGACTGAATTGTTTTTAGTATCACCTGCAGTGCCATGCAGTAAGTGTATGTCCGTGTGGTATGAAATGTAAATGTGTTGAACACTGAGGCCCTGCCCTGAAGAGCTTACAGTCTAAAGCAGGGATTGGCAATCTGCGGCCCGTGGCCCGCCAGGGTAAGCCCCCTGGCAGGCCGGGCCGGTTTGTTTACCTGCCACGTCCGCAGGTTCAGCTGATCGCGGCTCCCACTGGCCACGGTTCACTGTTCCAGGCCAATGGGGGCTGCAAGAAGCCACAGCCAGCACATCCCTCAGCCTGCGCCGTTCCCGCAGCCCCCATTGGCCTGGAACGGTGAACCGTGGCCAGTGGGAGCTGCGATCGGCAGGTAAACAAACTGGCCCGGCCCACCGGGGGCTTACCCTGGCGTGCCGCGTGCCGAAGGTTGCCGATCCCTGGTCTAAAGAGATAAAAAGGTGCAGTACAGAGCATTGTACAACAGACTAGGCCCAGCACACAATGGGGCATAGACCTTACAACTAGCTTGCGTCAAGCAACAGGTGGGGCCTGTTCAGGAGTCTCTGTAATGAGGAGTGGGAGGGCAATAGGCAACTGTTAAAAGGCTATTCAAAGCCTGGGATGCGGTACAAAAGAAAGCCGTGAGGGAGCAGCTAGGAGACCTCTGAGTATAGGGAGCAGAACGGGTATAGTAGGAAATAGGGGAAGAGCTGTAGGTGAGTTGAGGGTGTGCAGAGCCTTGAAAGGGAGAACGATTAACTTGAATTTGATGTGTAAGGAGAGTGAAAGCCAGTGAAGGGACTCAAGCAAGGGAGTGTTTATATGGTCAGAGCTGGGAGAGGATGGATGTATGTCACAGTTAGGGTGACCAGATGTCCCGATTTTATAGGGACAGTCCCGATTTTTGGGTCTTTTTCTTATATAGGCGCCTATTACTCCCCACCCCCACCCCCCCGTCCTGATTTTTCACATTTGCTGTCTGGTCACCCTAGTCACAGTCCCATATACACCATTGACCTGTGAGAGCCTTAAGTCCTTTTAACTCAAATAAAGGTGGAACTTGCAGCCCAAATGAGATTTATCTGGTTTGGGTTAGTAACCAGATCGCTAAAATGTCTCAGAAGCAGAGGGGGGAGGTATCATCAGTTGTCTTGTAGGTCTGCCAACATATCAGGTAATATTTTGAAAAGGGAGTTAATGCAAAAAAGGAAATAGAAGGGTTGTTGTCCACGCACTCCATCCCTCCCTCTTTGTCCTGGAGCCACAGAGCACTGCGGCTGGCCAAAAAACAAGAATTCCATTTTGCAAAAAAAATAAAAATTTGAGATTTTGACATTTGTTTTTGTTCTGTGTTGAAATGAAACTGAGACCTTTCATGAAAAAACAAGAGAGAGAGCACGCAACCGACCAACTCTGGAGATATTTAAGAGTAGGTTAGATAAATGTCTATCAGGGATGATCTAGACCGTATTTGGTCCTGCCATGCGGGCAGGGGACTGGACTCGATGACCTCTCGAGGTCCCTTCTAGTCCTAGAATCTATGAATCTCTCATCTATAAACTCTAGAATCACCAATAGCTTGAAGGTCCCTGCTCTGACTGATTTGAACCTGAGAAACCCTCCTGATGAAAATGTCCTCAAAAAATTGACCACCAGCTCTGCAGAGAGCACCCCTTTTTCTTAGTAGAAGGCATTAAGGGCAATCAAAGGCCTGGATTCTGGTTTCTTCAGGGTCCATCTGTACCTCCTGTTCCTTCCTCTCTGCAAGTCAGTATTCTTTGTGTCACCACAGTGTTTTTCACACCACCGCCCAATTCTGGGATTGCAGACTGAGACTGCTGACTAAGAGGTGGCTGAAACCAAATTCCTTATTTTTTACTCCCAAATATTCTCCTTACTTCCCTCATTCACAGTTTAGTTCCACTCTCACCTACATCCCAGATCTTACAGCATCCTTCTACTCTGCAGTGATGCACTCCATTTTTTCCTTCTCCGGCTCCTGCCTCCAGGCCTTTTTGGATTCCATTCTTTCCTTAGATTGTAAGCTCTTTGGGGCAGGGGTTGTCATTTACTATATGTTTGTACAGTGGCTAGCACAGTGGAGCTATGACCTGGTTGAGGCCTCTAGGTGATCCTGGAGCACCTACCACTGTGGAGTCCTGGGCCATGGCTGGGGCTCCAAGGTGCTATGATGATACAAATAAAAAATAGTAGTACAAATACTAAATAATGTTGTGTCCAGTGCATGACGTTACCTCCTAATTCTGGTTAGCAAAGTCACCATTAGATCCCTCCTGACATCTCACTTCTCCTTCAGTATCCTCAAGCTGCGAGTTCACAGTAACAATAATTCAAAACCAAACAAATGAAAAAAACCCAAATTCTTCCTCCTGGGTTTCAGTGTCCTGTCTTCTGCAGAAGTTTTAATTAAGTGCATGCTATAAAATTCTAGGACTGGCCACCAGAGGGCAGCCTAGCAATAAGAATTGATAGACTATGAAGACGGCTGCTGCGTTTCTGATCTCCAACCCTGTCTCTCTGTTGAAATTAAGAGTAATAATGAATTTAGAATAGAATTGGAATGGCACACAACTTGCTAAAGTTGTCTTTGTCCTGTTTAATTTTTACCTTCCCTCACTCACCAGATTGCCCTAACACCACACAACTGATGCCTAACCCTGCTATAGGTTGGTGTTATCAGGTCATGTCATATGAAATTCAGCAGGTTGGGAATCCAGTCTGCAATGTCTTGTGGGTCTTGTATGTAATCTTACATCCTCCGGTACAGAGGCTATGAATTGCTCTGATTCCGCTTGTGGAGGGGCTGGGCTAGATTTTCTTTGTCTTAGTTAATGTGACTACCCAATTAATCAGCAACAGCAGACTACCTCAGGAGTGCTGGTCAGCCCCTCCATAATTTTCCCATTCTTCACAGGCTCGGCAGGGATGAGAAGCAATATCTGAGATTTGAATTTTGTTCTTCCCATTAAATGCACATGGCGCTAGTCCCGGGTCACCAATAATATGACATTTAATATTTCTGTAGCAATGAATGTTCAAAGAGTTATATAAACGTAAGCTAATTGATTTTTGCAACAGCCTTGTAAAACCAGTTATGAAGTATTTCCATTTTGCATATGGGGAAACTGAGGGGCAGAGGTTGTGACTTGCTCAAGTCAAATAGCAAGTCATTGATGGAGCCAGAATTAGAGCCCAGGGCTTCCCGACTCCAAGCCCCTGTCCTCATTCCTCCAGACTATTAACAAAAACGGAGAAAACTGCCCCGTCACTCAGTTCAGCATGCAGAAGGGCGAGCTGCTTGCTGCAGGAAATCTGGTTTGAAAGTTTGCTTATGAAGGTTTTCATTTTAACTCTGCATTTTGGTGCTTCCCTGTTGCTCTGCAGATCACTATTACCGGGGCATTACTGTGGCCTGGCAAGTGGAGGGGCCGGAGCTGGAGAGCATAAAGCAGCATCCATCCTGCAGTGATGCTGGTGCCGCATCAGAAGATTTTTACTGTTCATAATGCTTTCAACAATAATGCTTAAAGCAGCTTCCGCAGCTGTTTATTTTAAAGGGATGTGCCAAATAGGTTAGCAATAGCCTTGTGCAGAACAGTGGCAACTGCATCACCCATACAAGAATACTTAGTCCTGCCATGAGTGCAGGGGACTAGAGTAGAAGACCTCTCGAGGTTCCTTCCAGTCCTATGATTCTGTGTCTGACCTTTTTTTTTTTCATTTTCATTTTATAATTGCAATAATCTTAGGGCAGGGCATTTCCTGGCGTTAATGGCCACTGCTTGTACGTCAAGCTTTTCCCCTCCCTCAGCGGGTCATTAATCCCTAAGGGATCTTGATCATTATAGCTTACGTGTGTCAGCGGGGTTCGTGTACATTTCAGTACAGTGCAACCTGGGAGTGAGGAACACCTGGTAACTGAAATGTTTGCAACTCTGAACAAAACGTTATGCTGGTTCTTCCAAACGTTTACAACTGAACATTGACTTAATACAGCTTTGAAACTTTACTATGCAGAAGAAAAAATGCTGCTCGTAACCATCTTAATTTAAATGAAACAAGCACAGAAACAGTTTCCTTACCTTGTCAAATCATTTTTTTAAACTTTCCCTTTATTTTTTTATTAGTTTAACACAGCACTGTCCTGTATTGGGTGCTGCCTGATTGCCTACTTCTGGTTCCAAAATAGGTGTGTGGTTGACCAGTCAGTTCATAACTCTGGTGTTCACAACTCTGAGGTTCTACTGTACTTTGTAGCAGCCAAATACAGGTGCACGTGGCATGACTCCCTTGAGCCAACTCCTCAGTCACAGAGAAAGCTAATGACCTGGATTTGAATTGTAGAAGTTAGATAGAAAATCCCTTTTATGTTGACCAGTTCATTTCTTCCCTAGCCCTGGTGCAGGATTATTCCTGGCTAGTGTATGTTCTCCAGTACTGTGGTTTTTTATTGGGATCCTCCTAGGTTTTACTCTTTTTAAATTCTCTTAAGAGCATAAAAATAGCTTTATTGGGTCAGACCGATGGTCCATCTAGCTTAGTATCCTGTCTTCTGACAGTGGCTGGTGTCAGGTGCCCCAGAGGGAATGAACAGAACAGGCAATCATCGAGTGATCCATCCCCTGTTGTCCTGTCCCAGCTTCTGGCAGTCAGAAACTTAGGGACACCCAGAGCATGGGGTTGCATCCCTGACTCATCTTGGCTAATAGCCATTGATGGATCTATCCTCCATGAATTTATCTCATTCTTTTTTTGAACCCAGTTATACTTTCAGCCTTCACAACATCCCCTGGCAATGAGTTCCACAGGTTGACTGTGCGTTGTTTGAAGAAGTACTTCCTTTTGTTTGTTTTAAACCTGCCTATTAATTTCATTAGATGATCCCTGTTTCTTGTGTTATGTGAAGGGTTAATAACACTTCCCCATTCACTTTCTCCACACCGGTCATGGTTTTATTGACTTCTATCATATCTTCCCTTAGTCATCTCTTTTCTCAGCTCAACAGTCGCTGTCTTTTTCATTTCTCTTCAAATGGAAGTTGTTCCATACCTCAGTCATTTTTATTTCCCTTCTCTCTACTTTTTCCAATTCTAATTTATCTTTTCTGAGCTGGGGCAACCAGAACTGCACACAGTATTCAAATTGCGGGCGTACCATGGATTTATTTAGTGACATTATGATATTTTCTGTCTTATCTATCCTTTTCCTAATGGTTCCCAACATTCTGTTAGCTTTTTGTTTGCCATTGCACATTGAGTGGATGTTTTTGGAGAACTATCCACAATGACTCAGATCTCTTTCTTGATTAGTAACAGCTAATCCTCCTCATTTTGTATGTAGAGTTGGGATTATGTTTTCCAATGTGCATTACTTTGCATTTGTCTGCATTGAATTTCAGCTGCCATTTTGTTGCCCAGTCACCAAGCTGAGTGAAATCCTTTTGTAACCCTTTGCGACCAGCTTTGGACTTAATTAGCTTGAGTTCTTTAGTATTGCTGGCGAACTTTGCCACCTCCCTGTTTAGCCCTTTTTCAAGATCATTTATGAATATGTTGAACAGCACAGGTCCCAGTACAGATCCTTGGGGGACCCCGCTGTTTACCTCTCTCCATTCTGAAAACTGACCATTTATCCTAACCCTTTGTTTTCTATCTTTTCATCCATCGGTTTTTTGATCCATGACAGGGCCTTCGCTCTTATCCCATGACAGCTTACTTTGCTTAGAGGCTTTGGTGTGGGACCCTGTCAAAGGGTTTCTGAAAGTCCAAGTATACTATATCCACTGGATCACCATTGTCCTCATGCTTGTTGACCCCCCAATGAATTCTAATAGATTGGTGAGGCATGATTTCCCTTTACAAAAGCCATGTTGACTCTTCCCCAACCATATTGTGTTCATTGATGTGTCTGATAATTCTGATATTTACTATATTTCAACCAATTTGCCTGGTACTGAAGTTAGGCTTACCAGTCTGTAATCGCCAGGGTCACGTCTGGAGCCTTTTTAAAAAATTGGCATTACAGTAGCTATCCTCCAGTCATCTGGTACAGAGGTTGATTTAAGCCATAGGTTACATACCACAGATAGTAGTTCTGCAATTTCATATTTAAGTTCCGTCAGAACTCTTGGGTGAATATCATCTGGTCCTGGTGACTTATTAGCAGGAGTCTTAGATACCCGTTTGCCGCGGAAATACGTGGAATTTGCATTTTTTACAGAGAATCTTTAGTTTTACATTTTGTGAAAAAATAAGAACGTATATTAACTAAATTTTACTGAAAGTTAGGATGATCATATTTCCCAAATTGAAAATGGGACACCATGCGGGGCTGGCCCGAGCCACCAATGCCGACAGCCTGAGCCCCAGCGCCTGGCATCACCTCCACCCCACCCCAAACATTCCTTTGAGCCCCTGTAGGGGGCATATCCCACTTTTGTGGGGGGGGGGGGCAAAACTGGGCATTTGTCCTATTTGCAAACAGGACAAATGCCCAGTTTTGCCAAAAAAGTTGGGACATTCAGGACAGGGCTTAAAAAGGGGACTGTCCCAGCCAAAATAGGATGTATGGTCACCCTAGTTCAGGGGTCGGCAACCTTTCAGAAGTGGTGTGCTGAGTCTTCATTTATTCACTCTGATTTAAGGTTTCGCCTGCCAATAATACATTTTAACATTTTTAGAAGGTCTCTTTCTATAAGTCTATAATATATAACTAAACTATTGTATGTAAAGTAAATAAGGTTTTTAAACTGTTTAAGAAGCTTGATTTAAAATTAAATTAAAATGCTGGACCGGTGGCTAGGACCCGGGCAGTGTGAGTGCCACTGAAAATCAGCTCGCGTGTCGCCTTTGGCACACGTGCCATAAGTTGCCTACCCCTGCCCTAGTTCAACTGATACCTATATATATTGTGGCTAGGGAAACTAAAGTTCAGCATTTCATTTTAATCATGGGAAAACGTGGATTTTGATTTTGCTTTTTATTGGAGAATTTTGCTTTTTTTATCACGGGAAAACTAGGATCCCTGCTTATTACTGTTTAATTTATCAGTTTTTTCCCCAAACCACCTCTAGGGACATTTAAATCTGGGACAGTTCCTCAGGTTTGTCACCTAAAAAGATTGGCTCAGGTGTGGGAATCTCCCCCATATCCTTTGCAGTGAAGACAGATGCAAAGAATTCATTTAGCTTCTCCACAATGGCCTAGTCTTCTTTGAGTGTTCCTTTGGCACCTTGATTGTCCAGTGGCCACACTGACTACAGCACTTGCGTTATTTTTGTAGTTGGGGGAAGACTACAAACAATCCTGAATAGTAATTATATAATTGGTAGGAGAATTCTGTGAAATGAAATATGCAATGTTCACCTGATGCCTAACTTTAGGCCTACCAACCTGGACAGAGTTTCTTGAAATACCGCCCTGATCCCTGCAGGGAAAGAAATTTCAGTGTTTGGTGACAGTTTTGCAAAACATTCTGGTTACTTTGGTCCGGATGAGGGTAAAAGCCCCATTATTTATTTATTTGTATTACCAGAGCCCTTCAGAACCCGTTCCAGTTGGCATAATGGTCACTTCTCTGTCTTGTTCAGTTAATAGATTGTGCGCTGATTCACCATTTGTGGTTTGGTTCCAGGCCCGGTGGGAATGGCAGCAGCTGCCGCCGTGGCAACAGGTAAAAAACGAAAGCGACCTCACGTGTTTGAGTCCAACCCATCCATCCGCAAGAGGCAGCAGACACGTTTATTACGGTAAGGACCCTCTACTGCCGCCGCCTGTGGCTTCTGCAAGCTAACAGCCAGGTCCATTTCTGTTTGTGCCTTTCCAAAACCCATTTGTTGTTGAGAGATCAGAGACTGGCCACGTGTTGCTCAGCTGGGGGCATCTTTGGCAATTTGCATGGAATCTGAGGGCTGCATTTACTTTGCAAAAACGGATCAGATTGCAGCTGTCCTCTGCTTTAATATGGTAGTGTGAGCCGCAGAGACTGGAGTCCCCATTCTGATAGTATTCTCGATTTATTTCTATTCCTGCCTAATCACAAATTTAGTCCACGTCCTCCTAATTACCATCTTGCTTTTTTCCATTTGACTTCTTTACTGCTAAAACCATTATCTTGAGAACCATTGGCGCTGCAATATCCCAGCTCTGGAATGGTATAAACCATTCACCCCCATCACGAGGGATGCATCTTTATTGTATTATTGAATGAGGCCTCTTATAAGACCTCCCAATGGTTCTGCAAGATGAAAATGCGCTAACACTTGTCCCTGCACGCCCTCTTCTAGCAAAGCTGAGGTGGCACATAGCAGAGTGCATCACACAGTGGGTATTTTCAATAAAAATGTCCTGGGTGAAACCACATTATAGGGGCTTCAGCTCTTTCTTCCCTTTTCTAGCACAAATGACTTGGGTAAAACACTGGCAAAGCATGTCAGTTTCATGCATTTTGTCAGTTTGACAATCAGAAGAATTTTGCCATTTTGTCAGCATAGTTAAATAGTAAATGTTTGTCTGTTTAAATCAGCGTGCGAGCCAGAAGGGAGCTGGTCTAGTGTCTCTGACGCTGGAGCGTCTATATGGTGTCACATGATGACAGCTTTCAGCAGTACATCCACTGCTGAAGGGGGCTCAGAAATGCCCATTTGCATTGATAACCTTAATGTCGCATAAAGTGGCAACTTATGTGGTGAGAACTGCTCCTCCTCCCCTATATAAACTTTCTATGATCCGCTCTAGCAAAGTCACTGCCATTTTCTTGACAATTCTCTCACATCATTTAAATGTTAATACAAGGAAAGAAGTGGCAAGTCTGAGTGTTTCCCCATGGAAGGACCATCCCAAAGGGACTCACTGATGTAACAGGTGGCTGAATATACACATTTCCCTTAGCCAGCTGTTGCAATGTCTCTGTTTCTTGCTTACCACACTTCAGTTATGGTTTGTGCAGGATTGAAGTACCTGTGAATTATTCAGCATTGTTGTGGGATTCTTTATCTGTAAAACATTTCAAAGTGCTCTACCTATAAATTCTGTATATTCTGTTAGCCAGTGGATGACTGTAGCTTGTTCCTCCCTCTGTTAACTGATCATCCACATGCGGCAGAAAATTCATTTCTCTCCAGTGTTGCACAATTGGTCAAGTGCTTCAGGGAGATTTTCTTGACATCAGGTGTTGGTCGCTGCTGGAGATAGGGTGACCAGACATCCCGATAAAATTGGGACCGATATTTTGCTCCGCTGGCAGCACTGTTTTTGTTTTTGTTTTTTGTTTTTTTTGCTCCACCGGCAGCACTCGGCTTTTTTTTTCCTCTGCTGGCAGACACCCCCTCCCCACCCCCATGTGTCCCGATATTTTCTTCCTCTCATCTCGTCACCTTAGCTGGAGACAAGATCCCAGACATGATGGGCCCAGTGGTTTGAGCTGATGAGACATATCCTCTGTGCCCTTCACTTCACTGCTGAGAGAGAAATGTTCATTTCTTTCCTCTCTCTACTTTACTTTACTTTTTTCTTTTTCATGAACATATTTCTTTGTGAAAAGTAGAAACGTCATAGCTGAGCTGGCGTCTGGCAAAAGGGAATATAGCAGGCCCGTGGGAGCAAAGGGACGCTTGTGTGGTCACTGTTACTCACCAGGATTTCCTTTCACACCTGCTTTTGGAATGGGCAGGGTCAAGAGGAGGGATTGTAATCTGAAGGACAGTGGCTGGAATGGCCCTTACTTTTATCTCCCCTCTCCCCTTGTTTTCTTCCCCTGTTTCAGGAAGCTGCGTGCCACGCTAGATGAATATACCACCCGAGTGGGGCAGCAGGCCATTGTTCTTTGCATATCCCCCTCCAAACCCAATCCTGTTTTTAAAGTGTTTGGTGCTGCACCCTTGGAGAATGTGGTAAGTCTCCCTGGGAAGGGGAAAAGGATCTAAGATGAGTTGTTTGCTTTCTGTGCATGTTTCATCTTGGCTTATAATGCCTCTAAGAGCCAGTGAGTGGTGTCAGCTTCAGGTTTGAAAAACACACACACCTGGAGCCACAAGATCAAATCCTGGCCTGGTGAATAACTGAATGCGGGGCTTTCAGATAAGGACTTAATACTGAAGTCCCACCTGCACTGTTTAGAGACACTAAATGTTCCCTGTCACGTCTCATAAAAGAGTTTAGCTTAGTGTTCCAGACCAAAATTTCCCCTTTCTCCATTTCTGTGCTGTGAGCTGATTGTGCATCGGGATGCTGCCTCCACCCTAAAGATGGCTGCATTCAGTGCTGTTCTGTCTACCATGTGGAGTACTTTGCTGGGGAGCTATGGAATGAGATCAGGGCTTAGAGCCTGTATTGCTCGCCCCAGTGAGCTTTGGGCAAGGCTGGGGTAAGGTAGGAAGGATCTGACAGCTATTCATGGTGGTACTGTCTTGAATGGTCAGGTGCGTGGTGGGAGGAGGGAAGGGATTTAATGGGACTTCTGGGACCAAAGACGTGCGTGTTGTTACCTTGCTCTCATTTAGCTATGATTACGGGATGTTACTTACAGCTTTGGTTCCCAACCACTGGTATATGTAGCAGTTCTGGGACTTCAAGCTTTAGCCACAGGTGCTTGGGCTGGGCAGCAACCCCTGAGCCAGTAGCCCCCGCTGCAGCTCCTCTCCAACCTGAAAGATAAACGTGCAGTTCTGCCTCCGTGCTGAGCTACATACGTCACCAAATCTCCTGCCCTATTTGCTGTGACGTGCTATATCTTACGGTGCTCCAGGCCTTACCCTTGTGGGATCTGGGGTTTGAAGCAACCCAGGCTCCATTGTGGCTTAGGTTAGAGGAGTGTGTCCAGTTCAATAGGAGGCAAGCAGTGCGGGTGCCCCTGAGGCTGGACGTGCAGTTCATGTAGATGCCTGCAGTGGGAGGGTGGGGCCTAAGGGAGTCACTGGCTGGTACTGCTGAGGTCTCAGTCTGGCAAACAAGTAGTTACCTGGGATAGTTGGAGACCACCGATTTCCAGGACAGTCAGGAAGGACTGGACTCTGCTGGTAAGTGGAAAGGGTTTAAAATCGTCTCGGCTGTCAGTGATTCCAGCTAGCCGCGAATGAGCTTCCTTGAGCCTTGCAGGAAATGAGGGTGTCACGGAGTGTGGGGGAGTCAGGGCCCTGCACCCTCACTTCCTGCGATTCACCGTGACTCTCAGCCAGCCAGTAAAACAGAAGGTTTATTAGACAACAGGAACACAGTCCCAAGCAGGGCTTGTAGGTACAACCAGGACCCCTTAGCCAGGTCCCTCTGGGGGCAAGGAGCTTAGACCCCAGACTTAAGGTTCCCTGCGTCTTCCCAGCCAGCCCAAAACTGAAACCCCCTCCAGCCGACTCACTCCCCTCCCCCCGGCTCCTCCTCTAGCCCTTGTCCAGTTTCCCAGGCAAAGGTGTCACCTGGCCCCACCCCCCTTCTGGCTTAGGTTACAGGCTCAGGTATCGTCCCTCAAATAAAGTCATCCCCTGCTATCTCATCCCCAGTGCAGACAGTCCCAGTAAAACTAGACGACATTCCCAAGTCAATCTGCCCCGCTCCCTACTGCGTCACAGAGGGGATCATCCTGGTTGCAACTGCACCGTTGTTTCCAAACTTTTATTAAAAGCATTCTAACGCTCCCCCTTGGCGGTGTTACTTGGAGTTTCATCATTTCTCTTTCATGCAGCCCTTTGGGGCCAGTGGGTATTTTTACCTCCCAGCTGTGGCATTGTTTGCTCACTCAGTTCTGCAGTGTCTTGGGGAAGAGTGAACAGCCCCTCCTCCGGTTACCTAGCACCCTTGCCTCTCTTGTTGCTCTTTACCTTGTTTACCTGAGCCTAATGATTCCCCACAGGTGCGCAAGTACAAGAGCATGATCCTGGAAGACCTGGAGTCAGCACTAGCGGAGCATGCACCTGCGCCACAAGAGGTTAACTCCGAGCTGCCACCCCTAACCATCGACGGAATTCCTGTCTCTGTGGACAAGATGACCCAGGTAAGCAGCCAAGGAAGGTGGAAACTTGGAAGAAGAAATGAAGAGGAGTTTTAAAGCCTGTTGATTTTGCAGAGGAGTGTATGCCTGCGTCCTAAGGGACACTTAATCCCATCTCTCTGGTGGGACCATAGTGGGCCAGGTAATAGATGTGAATATTTATCACTGGTGCTGCTTTCCATATGACATTGTAGAAATCCTAGTGAGGGCTAGAGCACAGATTGCTGGAACTCCTCCCCCACCTTTCCCCGTGGGATCATTGTCATTGTGCTCCATCAGAGCTAGTCAGTCCTGCACCTTGGAATGGTTTGTAACCACTGGTATCGGGAAGGTGGCTTATTACTTGTCAGTAGAATCCCCTTTTAGTTTTCCCCCCTTGTGCCTTGTTTTTTCTCCTCTCTCCCTTTCTCGCTGATGCTGTGGGTGGAAGCAGAAGGAAACCCACTGATAGTTATGCTCCAGGGCAAACGCCACTCTCCCACCTCAGGGGCAGGGGCGAGCTGCTAATACCTGGTGGTTACAGTGAGTCATCTGTCGTAGCGGTGGGAGGACTCCTCATCCTCTCATGACCCAGTCCTCATCTGAGCAATGTTGCATTGGTGGTCCCATCTCTGGGAGAAAAGAGGAGGGAGTTCTGAAGGAAACTTCTCCTGAGTGGGGAAGGATCAATAGTCTTGTATGTAAATCTCCTCTCCCCTGGTGGTGGCAGGGACAGGAGAGGAGGAAAGGATGCAACGAACACTGTGTAAAGGAGCTAAGTAAAGGGCTCTGCACGTGCTCATCCAGGGAGATTGATCTATCAAAACAAATCACAAATGCCCAAACCCCGCTGGGAGGCAGAAACTCAGAGAGGAACAAGGCTGAGTGAGACCTGGGGTGAGGGTGGTCAGTAAGTTAGATATGGGTTTGTAGCATGATATGTCAGCAGAAGGTCAAGGTGCTTCAGGAGAAGAGTTGTTGATGCAGAGAGTGGTCAGAGCAGTGAAGAGAGAGGTTTTCACCTCAACAGTGGTGACATTGTGAGGAAGGGACAGAGAAGAAATTGGTGCTAGTGGAACAGAAGGAAAGGAGATTAGAGAGAGAGGAGGTTGGCTTCTGAGATTGCCTGGAGGAAATCCAGGATTTGCAGCTATTGCAGTGTGGTAGAAATTTCAAGAAGCTTCCCCTCTTTTTGCTGCAGGATGTAAGCACATATATAAAAATAGCAAAAAGAACAGGAGTACTTGTGGCACCTTAGAGACTAACAAATTTATTTGAGCATAAGCTTTCGTGGGCTACAGCCCACTTCATCAGATGCATAGAATGGAACATACAGTGAGAAGATATTTATACATACAGAGAACATGAAAAGGTGGAAGTACCCATACCAACTGTAAGAGGCTAATTAATTAAGAGAAGCTATTATACAAATAGCTGCTATTAAAAAGAAGAATTTTTGTCCAGTCAACTCGATGGCTGTTAGTGTTGCATTTCATCATTGAAACAATATAAAAATGTCTAACTTTCATTCTAGTAAACCCCTCACATGGATTTTCTACACGGAAGATATTTAATTTTTATGCTAGCGTTGGAAATGAGAGCAACACTTCAACATCAAGAGTTGTTTAAGTTTTACCCGTGGCTCTCCAAACATGGTTAGACAACCTCAGCTCCTTAATCTGTACTTTTTGTTTTAAAAAACTTCTTGCGTTAAATCTAAAATATAAACAGTTCTGTTTCCTCTAGGTGTGAAGTGGCCTTGGCCATCAGCTGTTAAGAAAATTCTGTGGTTTTGAAACAATTATTCTGCGCATAAATCTGGCCTAGGCAGGTGGCTGTGGGGCGCTGACTGCTTTGATTTGCCATGTGTGAGATGTGACTTTGATTTCTGGTTCTTCGTGCTTACTCTTCTGGCCCAGGACTTATTCACTGCTAAGGGGAAGGTGGCACCTTGAGTCCTTCTGCAAAAGCTCCTTTGACTGATCTGTTAGCACGGTTGATGATTTCCTAAATCAGATAGTTAGTTAGCTCTTGCTAACACCCTGCACAAGGGGGCCCAGATCCTAAACAGGGTTCAGTAGGCACTCACTGCTATTGCAATATAAATAATGAAGAGTACATATACAGAGGGGCTTGCTGACTGCTCCAGTGCACTCTGCTTCTAACCTTCCCTAATCTCTCTGCCCCTCCTCTTTCTATTAGTGGTGGAGCACTTGTACGCTGGCGTTCTCTATTGGAGCAGCGTTCTCTGGCAATAAGTTTGCAAACTGTTGATGCAACAGTAAAGTAACTTACAAGGCATCTTATTTTGAGATCTCGTGCACCCATCACGCTTAAGTAACTGCCTAATTAGGAATACCTTTCTTGCAGGAATGATGCTTTTCGTTTAAACAACTGTATTGCAATGGTGTTGAATTTCTCCCAAGCTGTAGACTCAGGGGTAGGCAACCTATGGCACGCGTGCCGAAGGCGGCACACGAGCTGATTTTCAGTGGCACTCACACTGCCCGGGTCCTGGCCACTGGTCCGGGGGGCTCTGCATTTTAATTTAATTTTAAATAAAGCTTCTTAAACATTTTAAAAACCTTATTTACTTTACATACAACAATAGTTTAGTTATATAATATCGACTTATAGAAAGAGATTTTCTACAAACATTAAAATGTATGACTGGCACGCGAAACCTTAAATCAGAGTGAATAAATGAAGACTCGGCACATCACTTCTGAAAGGTCGCCGACCCCTGCTGTAGACAGATGTAGCTCTTGCACTTTTACCCTCATCCTCATAGACTCGTAGAAGTGCCGGACTGGAAGGGACCTTGAGAGGTCGTCTTGTTCAGGCCCCAGCATTAACGGCAGGAGTAGGTAATAAATACCATTCTCTGTTTGTTGTGGATATTGCCCAGATCGTCGATGCTCTTGTCTCTCTCCCCTCTGTAAAATGGGGATGACTTCATAAATCAGGAATGGGCAACTTAAAGGAAGTAGAGGGCCACACGATCCACTCAAATTCTTTGGCAGGTTCACAGGGTAATGCAGGGGGAGTGTCAGGCCCTGCTTTGGGCGTGTGACACAATGGGGGAAGGGGGCAGGAGGGGTTGAAGAGTAAGCCCACCCTGCAGTCATCCCTCCGCAGCAGTTCCTATCCTGGGCTATTGTCCCGACTCCCTGCTCTGGCTCATTGGTTCTTGCAACAGCGTGCAGGTGAAACCCTCCCCCCATGATGCCCCACCCCCTTCCTGGTGTCTCTGGATCACCTGCCCTGAGCTGGGCTGTGGCAGGCTAAATAAAATGATCTGGTGGGCCACCAGGTGCTCATCACCGTCATAAACATTTATAAAATACTTTGAGAGCCTTGGATGGGAGAGGGCCACACGAGGACAAAGTATTATTAAGTATTGCCAGGGCTACAAACTCTCCGTGGGATCTGAAAATCCACCTGTGGTCTTTCTGCCTGTTAAAGTTAACAAAGATGCTACATTTGGATCACAGCTGACCGGTTTGTTAATGAGGGAGTCTCTCTAGCTTACAGCTATACAGCCCCTGCAGGGCTAAGAGAAGTAAACACTTACTTCAGTTAAACCTGAGCTAGCACTTGGACACTGCAGGGAGCAGAGACGTTGACTAAAATGGTGCCACGTTTTCAGAGTCACTTTTCTGACCACAATGGCACTTTAAGAGTTATAAATAAGTCAATCTTAAAGCACAACAATTCTGCAGTGACCCACGTTCAGGGCTCCGCATCTCATTTGGGAGAGCGGAAGATACTACTAGCCCTCAATCAGTGCAAAGAATGAAGCATCTTGCATGGCTAGTGATTCCATCAAATGTTGTAGCAGAAACCTTGATCCCCAGAATGCCCAGCTGAGCAGAGAGAAAGCTTTTCAGTTGACGGCTGATCTGATGTTTGCCTTCGTCAGCTAACAGGAGAATCTAGCCTTTTTCAATTCTTGTTTGTGACTGGAGATTACAAAGCCTGGAGGAAAGCAGAAAAATTTTAAAATACATATTGGGCATCTCAATTAAGAGGCACGTCACTAGGAATGGAAAAATGAGGCTTTGGCTTTGAACAGCTGCAGGTCTCATTGGACAGGTGTTAGAAGTGTTAGGTTTAGCTCACTGAAAAGGAGATGAAAATAATTCTCCTTTTAATTGCCCTGCTTCTTTGGAGGTCTTGGGGGAAATAAAACCTTCCGTAGGTTGAGTAAAGGTGTTTCCATGGATTTGCAGACGGAGAGCACTGCCCACCTGTGCTGTGTGTGAAAAATGTGTGCAGCGGGGTCTGATTCTGAAGCCCTTACTCAGGGGAATCTCCCATTGTAGTCAATGGGCATTTTGACGAAGGACTTCAGAACAGCCCAGTCGTGAGCTTGCTGGCTAGTAGCTTATCCATGTCTTTATCTGAACTCAGTGCATGAACACTGAGTCATATTCTGCACTCAGCTCTGCATGTATAAACCTCAGTGAAATTGCTGCATGTTGCTTACACCTTCCTGAATGCAAAATTTGTCCCTTAACCTGACTTTTCTTTCTTTGTTTTAACATCTGCATATGACTTGGAGGCAAAGATGACTCTACCCCACCCCAGTTCCCCCTAAAAAGGAAATTAAAAGGTGTTTGTTTCACTGATGTGGGTCAGCATCTTGGCACCAAACCAAGTTACCATTAGGCGCTGAACAGTTATGTTGGGGAAACTAAAGTTAGTCAGTCGTGGTGAGTAGAGGATGGACGGGGGTTGAAGCACACCTGTAACCATGCAGGCCAGCATTCAGAAAGCATCCTATCATTGGAGCTCAGGGTTTGTTCTTGTGCCTGGTTTGCAGCATCCTGATGCAATGAAGTTGCTGTATGAACCTTGTGTGCTGCTACAGGTGGAATGGGATGTACAGTAGTGAGCTTTAAGGGACAGTGGTACTGTAGGCTCTCCTGACTAGAGGGTGCACCACGCTTCAGGCTGCGCAAGAACTCAGCCAATGGGTGAACAATCCTGATTGCTTTATACGTTTCTTATTTTTCATCTGA